ACTTATTTCTATTGCTGAAATTTATGAGTCTTTGCCTTACACATTACCCACTCCAGAGAAGCTTCTTTTACTAAGGCTGAGATCAGCACTGATTTATGGGTGTAAATATAAATATTCAGAAGGAGGTCTGACGATGTGTCCATTTAACAAAACAACAGTAGTCTATAGTGGTATTTGCTCCGCCCATGACCTTGGACTGTATGGCCCAAAGGAGGTGGTGCTTCCTGCCATTGTACAAGACCTCTTATAAGGGGTTGGAGAAGGGTCACATGCCCCTTTTCCCTGCTCCTGCCTGCGAGGTGGATTCGCTCCTGGTCAGATCAGAGGACGACTTTAGCTGTCCACTCCATTCTATAATCGTGAGTGTATTTCCTCAGTTTATATCTTAATAAATTCTGTTATCCATTTAATAGACTCACGTGGATTGATCATAATAGTAGTAGATTCCTCAATAGGGCCTATGATCTCCCCAGCCATAGGCTTTTGACCAGCATTACAGCACCAGGCATGAATTCCCTCCTGTGGACCAGGCCTTATATAAATATAAATATTTATATTTACCTTAAATCCAACCAGAAAGTGGTTGGTTCCCTTCACAATAGTCAAGTCTGTATTGCACCAGTGAGCACGTATTGCCTGGCACGTTGGTGTTGTAACCTTCAGGTTCCGTAGCTGGAGGGACCATTGATGATCCCCCTGTTCCCCACAGCTGTGTGCATTGCACTTCCTGGCACTATGAGAGCTAGCCAGCAGGGAAGAAGCCTCCAGATCAGTTGCAGCTTGATTTTTCTGTGTCCTGCGCACAAAAGTGTCTTATCTTCAGCGGTAGAGTCTTCCCATGTAGTTCCGGTGGGCAGCATAAGTAACGGGAACAGCCTGTGTTGTTTGGGGAGCATCTGGAGTTTCCCTGACCAACAAGTCATAGCGGGGATCCCACACCTACACTGAGGTTTCCAGCATCTTTGGGAGTGACAGTCGGTGTCACTGAAAAGTTAAGCATTTACAAATGGGCTTGCAACATTGATCTTTCTGGACAAGAGTGTCCTGGCATGAGAAAGTGTGCTGATAAAGATGGTGGAATTTTAATGGCATGCTAATGAATACACCAAGCCATGGAGTGTGGATGGTTTTGTTCTGGGATCTACTTTTTGAGCCCTTCTTTCTGGATTCTTGGGAAAAGCCTCATTAAGAAAGAGATTTCTTCTGTCAGGTGTGGCGAGCCATCTGTCAGGGCTCAGGAGGCTAAGGTGGGAGGATGGGCCATCTAGGTGACAGACATTGTAAGACTGTATCCCAAACAAACATATAAACACAACAACAAAGTAAAACAAGGGGCTGAAAAGATGGCTCAGTGGTTGAGAGCATGTGTTACTCTTGCAGAGGATCTGAGTTCGATTCCTAGCACCCATAGTGTCTTACAACTATCTGTAACTCCAGTTCAGGGGATCCAAGTACTTCTTCTGACCTCTGCAGGCACCAGGCATGCATATGATACACATACATACAACAGGAAAAATACTCACACACCTACAATAAAAAATAAAATCTAAAACAAATAAATAAAAAATTTTTAAATTAAGAAAGGTTTCAAGGGGCTGAAGAGTATGTGTTGCTCTTGTAGAGAATCTGGGTTTGATTCCCAGCACACACGTGATGGATCACAACCATTCGTTACTCTGATTTCAGGGGATCCAACACCCTCTTCTGGCTTCCGAGGGCACCACATGCACATGGTGCACATACATACAGGCAAAATACCCATATACATAAAATAAATACATCTAAAAATTAAAAGGTAAGAGTTTTTAATCTGTCTCCAAGCAGATCCTCTCTCAGCGATCTTGTCTCCATCCTTCAGAGGACTCTCCGTGCCCTGCCTCCTCACTGTGAAGGGGAATCCTCATCTGTCCAGGAGGATCAGTAGGTTGGTCTGATTGGTGTAAAGTGGCAATTCTGTTATTGGGGTAAGCAATCACTTTCTGATTGGATCTGGAGCCCACACCACAGGGGGGAATTCACACCTGGTTCTGTAAACTTGGTCAAAAGCCCATGGCTGAGGAGGTCACAGGTCCTAGTGAGGAAGTGACAGCTGCTGTTTTGCTGAGTGGATGTGATGCACCTATCACATTGCCTTCTAAATAATTATATTTACTCTCATAGATTCGTACTGTTGCCTGCTTTGATCAAAGAACTTCTTTTTGTAGTGGGCAGTGGTAACTGAAGAGACTCGAAACTGGTCAAAATACTGAGGACAAGAGACTCCGTCACCTGTTCCAGTGCTCAGAGAGCATCAGTGAAGAGAGGCCAGAAGGACACTCAAGCCAGAGGACAGTCTGCAGTGGTGTAGAGTGCTGTCTTTCATCTGTGAGACGGCCATGGTGTTCTTGAATTCATAGCAACTGTGATTTCCTGCACAAGACATGCATGAGACTGGGCCTGACAACACCAGACATGGAGGGAGGAAGGGCTCATGAGATCACCATTCCTTAGGATTTATATAAGAGAGGGACAGACATTTTCTTCACTGGGATAGCTGAAATGGGGTAATTGGTGAGATGTCCATGATCCTGTAAATAACCTCTCACCCACAATTCTGTAGGCAAGTCTGATGAAACTAATTGGAGAGGAGAGGAGAGGAGAGGGGAGGGGAGGGGAGGGGAAGAGAGAGAGAGAGAGAGAGAGAGAGAGAGAGAGAGAGAGAGAGAGAGAGAGAGAGAGAGAGAGAGAGAGAGAAGTATAAAGGACAGTTAGGAGGAAGGGGTCTGTGTGAGTGGGAGAGGGACAAGAGGGAATAATGGGGGTGAATATGATTAAAATCCACTATGCGCATGTATGAATGTCATAACCAACTGTATTACTGTGTTTAAAACGTGCTAATGCTCAACCATATGTGAGACCACAATGTGCTGGTGTGGGTGATTTGTGCTTGTGGATTGGTATGTGATCTATCTATCTAGTCAGGTCCCAGACCTCACATTGGTCTAGTTATTCACACACAGGTGCAGTTGGAGCCCTCCTGCTGACTTACATAGGAAGGGCATCTCTGTATGAAGAGGGTAGCCATATACACACTCTTATCTTCTTGTCATTGGGGCTGGCAAGCACAGTTGACTGTGGGTTTTTCTTCTTTTCCTTTTTTAAAAAAATTGAGACAAGTTCTTACTGTGTAGCTCAAGCTGGCTTCCAACTCACCATCCTCATGTTTCCATCTCCTGGAGCTTAGATGACAGCCACACCTGGCTTCTTATATGTTCTGACATATCTAATTCTGCTTAGATATTGGGACTGAGGCAGGAGAATGAAATTTCCCCCAAGCTTCCAGGTTCCAGCATCGTTTACCAGGGAAGCCCCATGCTTGGGAGAGTTGAGATTTTACTGATTCTATATGCCCGCTCACTCCCTCAACACCTTCCATCTTTCACCGCCCTGCTCAGCCCCCAGGTCAGGAAGGCTGACCTGCACATCTACAGTGGTCTGCTCCTTTGTCTCCTCTGCAAATGGTCAGCACTAGCCAAGGATGACAGGGAGAGGAAGGAGTGAAGTCATGCATTTGTTCCCCCAGCCCCTGCTGCTTCATGGACCTGAGGAGGGTGACTGCTTCCTCCAGGGACCATCAGAGATCCTGTCCTGTGACCTTCTCCAAATGGTCTTTCTGTCTCTGGGTCACAATTTTGTTCTCTGGGTGGAAGGAGCTGGAACTGACTGCAGATACTGCTCCGTTGTTTGTACTTCCACACTACTTGTTTTTGTTTTTCTAAGTCACCCCAACCTTTAAAACTGTTTATTTTTTAAAACTCTTCTGTGTGTGTGTGTGTGTGTGTACGCATGTGCACACCATAGCATGTGTGTGAAGCTCTGAGAACAACTGTTTTTGATTTATTTGTTTTGTAACAGGGTTTCTCTGTGTAGCCCTGGCTGTCCTGGAACTCACTCTGTAGACCAGGCTGGCCTGGAACTCGGAACTCCATCTGCCTCTGCCTCCTGAGACATGGGATTAAAGACATGGGCCACCATCACCTGGCCTGAGAACCATTTTTGAGAGTCTTCCTTTCTCTGTTGTGCACTTAGGGTATTAGGCTAAGGTTGTAATGCTTGTGCGGTGAACACTTTTACCCACTGAGGCATCCCACTGCCCAGTGGCCCCTGTCATTAGATGCCACTGAAATTATCCACCATGAGGTGCCATCTCTTCCTGTTGTAGCCTGACAAGTTGAAGACTTTGTGGAATCATTAATGTGACTAGTTTTTTGTCTCCCACTTCACTGTAGTCCCATAATGCTTGGCAAGTATTTGGTGAATTTTTATCGAAAGAATGACAGGACCCCTCCTCTCCACACTTCTGATATTCACCTGAGCATCCTCATGCTATGCATAGATGCCCAGTAAACTCTAGGAGCTGTTGGGTTAAGCGGCATAGAGCAGGCTAAGCTGAGACTCATATTTCCCATGAGCTCCAGCCCCAAGTCACCTCAGTGGTTCACGCCCAAATGAGCAATGTGTGAATGTATGAGGAACATCTGAAATACACAGAGACAGTAAAGATAGGATGCTTGCCAAACAAAGGATGATGTGATTTCTCTAATTCAGATTTAAAAGTCCAGACCACAAAACAGGAAATAAACACGGGAAATTTTCATTTGTTTAGATGTTGGTTTTAAAGGAAGCATGTTGAGCCGGGCGGTGGTGGTGCTCACCTTTAATCCCAGCACGCAGAGCTAGGCAGATCTCTGTGAGTTTGAGGCCAGCCTGGTCTACAGAGTGAGATCCAGGACTGGCACCAAAACTACACAGAGAAACCCTGTCTTGAAAACAAAACAAAAAAGGAAGCACGTTGAGAAAACTCAATTTATAGTTACCGGTTTTGCATTTATAAAGTTGACATTACCTTTATTATATTTAATGTTATATTAGGCACCATTGTATTGTTCTATGTGAGGTAAAGTTGATATAACTACCTTGTATTTATATCCATGCTTACTATCAAGTTCACAACTTCAGGCTCCAGAGTGGTTCGTGACATTTATTATAATTATGGTTTCACTGTGCAAGTGTCAGAGGAACTTCTTCTCATGATGAGGGGTACCCCACGATTTGTATATCTCTGGGAATATGCTTTCATGGGTAGGGCTCACAGAAATATCAGGTAGAACTGTTCCAAGACCTCTACTAGGCCTCAGAAGTTCCTAGTTGCTTACAAATCTAAGTTATAATTCTTTTTTGAAAAAAATTCCAGGATCCTCCTTCCTGGGTTACCAAGTAGGATAGGGCTCCATCTCCAGGTGCCATAGTACACCTCATTTTTCCGCAGAGCTGCGCCTTTGATGATCTCCAGGGCGCATTCCTCCTTGGGAGCAGCTTGTATAGTTAATACACCAGAGGTTGCCTTCATGGCTGTTTCTGTAGGACCACAAGAAAGACTGGAGTTATCCAGGGTTAGCAGAACTTGTGTGATGGAGAATCCCAGACCCCTAGCTGTTAGGTACTCTGTGCCTATGTCTGAGCCCCACAGGCCCTCTGGGGACCCTTGGACAACAGGATATGTCCAATGTGGACAAAGGAAAACTGGCTGGCAGACGTCTGACTCCCTGGATTGGGGATCTGTGTGGCAGCGGAGGTGACAGCTTGGGGGTCCAAATGATCTTCTCTGGGTACTTTGGTTGGGGTGACACATTACCATGGGGGTGATGCAGAATGAGGACTAAGTAGCTGATGTAAAATGTAGATGGCAAAGGAGAACGTGATGAGGCTGTGACCCACTGCTTTACAGATGAGTAGAACCAGGCTTTGGCTCCCTCCCAGCACTGACCACTGCCACAGAGAAGGAGCTGGCAGGAATTATGGTCTGTCTTCCTCCATGGTCACGTCCTTCAGACATGCCTTCCCTCTCTTCATCTCCATGCTGTTTGACTTCCAGTTTTGTTCTGTAATCACTACTTAATTACTTTTTTTTTTTTTTGACAAGGTCTCATGTAGCCTAGGCTGGCCTGGAACTCAATATATAGTTGAGAATGACATTGAACTTCTGATCCTCCTGTATCTACCTCCTGAGTGCTGAGATTACAAGTGTGTCCCACCATACATAGTTTAGGTGGTGCTAGGAATCAAACCCAGGGCCATATGAGTACCAGGCAAGTACTCTAGCAACTGAGCTACAGCCCCAGAGCATCAATCACTCCTTAAACAAGATTTTCTCACAGTCCTAGATGTATGCTTTAGATAAATGTGTAAACACTGTACTCACTGTTCCCATACACACCTCACCTTTCCTGATTGTCACATCATGCATAACCCTGTGTAATGGCCAGAAATGATGTATCACAATGTTGCTGGCTTTTTTTTTTTTTTAAACTAGTGTCCCCTTTATACTTGGATTGTGTCCAGGAGCACACTCGATACTAATTTCTCCTGTTTTTTCTTAGTCTGTGAAGGTTCTTTTCTAGTCTTTCATGGCCTTGGTTCTTTGAAGAGTACTAGTCATTGTTTCTAAGGACAATCTCTCAGTTGGATGCTGGATCCTCTCAGTGTGCCACATTGAGGGCTCATGAAACCACCATCTCCTTACTGTTGAGTCTAGTGAGAAAAGTACACAGGTGTTTAGTATCTTTTATTGAGTAACAGTGGTCACGGGGAGTTCATGTGGACATAAGGAGCTCAGAGTAGAATCTGCTGAGTGTGGTGTTCAGACTAGAAAGGAGGGTCAAAGCTGACTAGCTCCACCAGTGACAGAAGTGCCTTGCTAAATGACAGGGCCGATGCTTCTCGTGTGGTCTCTAGTGTATTGCCACCGAGAAGGAGAGAACCTCGGGGAGACAGAACCCCTCTTTTTCTACACGGTAAAGCTGACAGACCAATTTAAGGCCATTTATTCCAGGGTCTTTTCCTTACCTGTATTTATGAGGCCAAGAACACAGAGAGTGATGGACACGTTGACCTTAGTCAATAAGTGTTCTTCTCTAATGGTAGAAAAGAACCCGTCCAGAGCAAACTTGCTTGCAGAGTAGGGAGCCACCATTGGCTGGGCCATTTTCCCTAAATGACATGTGGAAGAAGTTTGTTAATGAGGACCCAGTTTGACCTCAGACAGAGCAGGGCTTGACTTGGAGGGGGCTGGCAACCCCTGAGGGGTCTCCTTACTCACTGAGTCTCAGTTTCTCACTATTCCCTGGCATTATGGCATTATGTTTCTGAAGGAATAAAAATCAAGTTTGTGGTTTGGATGAGAATGCCCCCACCTCACCATTAGCTCAGTCCCCAGTTGGTGAAATGCTCAAAAGGGTTAGGAGGTGTGGCCTTGTTGGAGTAGGTGCTACAGGGGGTGGGCTTTGAGGTTTCAAAAGCCCATACCAGGCCCATTGTTTCCCCCTCTAATCTCTCTCTCTCTCTCTCTCTCTCTCTCTCTCTCTCTCTCTCTCTCTGCCTCAGGATCAAGATGTAAAGCTTCAGCTACTTCTTCAGCACCATGCCTGCCTGCTCCCACCATGATGATAATGGACTAACCATCTGAAACTGTAAGCAAGCTCCCAATTAAATGCTTTCTTTTAGAAGAGTTACATTAGTCATGGTGTCTCTTCACCACAATAGAGCAGTGACTAAGACAGGAGCAATACGGGAGTGTACGGGGTGAGCTGCAAGACAGGTTTCACTGAAGAGAGATGCTAAGCAATGGTAAGAAGTGAGCTGGGCTTCAATACAGCTATGTGTTCTCACAGCTGCTATCTCCAGTTCTGATCCTAGAGGGCCAGCTCAGTGACCTGTCTTCTCTCTGCACAAAGAGGATAAAACACTTGTGTTTGAGTTTTACACAAAACTGGAACTTTCATCACATCAGTCAAGACAGGTTCCAGTCTGTCGAGGGATATGTGGACATAGACATAATGGGATGAGCTTTTCACATGCTCTATGAATAGATAGAACAGAAGTGAACTGAGACCATATGTGCTTCTAAACACTGATAGAAAGACTATAAAATCTTTGTCTGCTAGGTCTGGAAGCTGAGCCAGTTTAGGGTCCATTTCTGTGGACAGCTTCCTTCCTCTTGAACGTATAACTTTTCCCTTGTATCCTGAAAACTGTCATCAGTGCATTACAGACTCTCTGGATTTTGTCTCATTTCTTCAAAGAGGGTTAACTGTTCTGTTAAAGTAAGCAGTTAACTTGGTTGAAATATATTTGGCCACTTGGTATCTGCACCACTGTGAACAATCAGAAATCCAGAGAAAGTAATATACTACAGAGACCCAGGATTTTGTGATGTTTCTCCAAAGAATACTCATTTTTTTCTTCAAAAATTATAACAATTACAGACTTCTGACAAAATGTAAAATGCAGCCATTGAAAGCACTAGCAGAGACTAACAGCAGACAGATGGTTTGCTGCTCTTCCTGTCTCATAGACCTTCTAATAAGTGCACGTTTCTACTGGTCATGGTGCGGCTGCTGTTCTCTCAGTATGTCTCTGCCTTTTCCAAGGCAGTGGAACCCCAATTCCTATCTGGGCACAGTTATCCAGGGTGAGGTGGATGCCTCACACTCCTCTCAGCCAGTTATTATTGGGTGGCTAAGCTCTGTACAGTGGTAGGTAAGCAGAGGCAGAGGAAGTCTCTCTGCCTTCGCTCTTTCTTCTTAGGTGGCTGTGACAGCCACGGTTCCTTGAACCATGAGGTAGAAAGGCGCACACTGAAGAGGACTGTGGAGACACAGGGGAGACGCAGTGGCCTGGAGCAGCCTCGCCAGCTCGGCTCCACCGTCAGACAGCCCTGACTTACTTCTCATCTGCTTAGCCCACTGTTGTTTTTAACTTTCAACACCTGAGAGCTGGACTCAAACCTTGTTATAGATAGACCATGTGAGAGAAGAAACCTGACATCCCTGTGGCTCCATCCCTTGACTCAGGTCTGCTACAGGAATGGACATGTGACCCAGTTTGGACCTATGAGACAAGGAAATTTTTGTTGGGTGTCTCAGAAAGTTCTTTTCCCTCCTTGGGGTTTCCTGAGAGTAGCAGTCCTTTTTCTCTCCTGGTGGGCACTTGGTGCATTTATACGGGGCTAGAACTGCTGCAGCTAGCTCATTGTCAGTGGAGTGGGAAGCCACATGGGGAGGGTGGGGACACAGCTTGAACTGGGTCAGCTGTGAAGCCTGCCCTACATCGGAACTCCAATTCTGTCAATAATTTCCATTAATGTTTAAGCCAAAAAGAGATCCAAAATGTTTATAGGAATAGTATATGATTAAAATATGAGCTTTAGAGACAGGTGGCATAGGTATAAATCCCAAGCATGGCACTTCTTAGCTAAAATTTGTGGATAATGCCATTATCAAGCTGGAGTAACTACATAATATGTTTAGCACAGACTCTGACTCTGAGAAGGCATTCAGAGAATGCTGTTGTTGTCAACAGAATTAGTATTCAAATCAGCAAGAAATGTATGAGCTATTCAAAAAGTCATGTTGGGACAAATAGCTAATTACTCAGGGGAGTGGAAAAATGCCACTCTAATAAATTAATTCAAACCACACTAGAGAATGTGTGGAAAGTAAGATCATACAGTATGAGAAGGATGAGTTTACCATTTCAAGAAACACTTAATCCAGGAAAACAGGTGCACTTGGGGAAAGGAAGAGTGGGTGGATGGAATGCAAAACTTGAAAAGCTGCTTGGTGCTGGAGACGCCCACCTTGCCCTTTTGTATGTACGTCTTTCAAAGACACCCCTCTTCTAGCCTTAGAGGGCTGTCCAGCCACAGACATGTGTACACTAGCTTGAACACATGCCATGGCCTCTTTCAAGAAACTGCAATATATGACAGAAGGATTCTAGTTACTGCCATTTGGTTTTGAGCTAAAACGTTATATAAGGCTAGGACTGAGAGATCCACTTCCAGGCATTATAAAGGGTAAGTCAGCAAAGATCACTCGTGCAGAGGCCAGAGATGTGGAGCAGAGGAACACAGAAGCTGAGCTTAAATGGATGCTAACTTTCTTTAAAGCTTGTATATCTCATTCTAAAGTTCAAAGGCTGAATAATTGTTTCAAAGTTGAAGGATTGGTGAAAAAACCAAGATTCAGATCTGTTTCTAGTGGCTCACTCTTACACTCTTGTTTCCTCTACAGTTGCCTCTACTTTCCTCCTCTTCCTCTTCCTCCTCCTCCCCCTCCTCCTCCTCCTCATTATTATTATTATTAGTCATTGCTGGGCCCCCCTGTTCTTTATATTCACATTTTCCAGGAATCATGTGTCAAATCCAGTACCAACCCCCCTGTGTAGGTGAAGTTTTCTTTGGTCTGATGTTCAAGCTCCAAATAGACAAGCTTCATAACTACCAGCATTATTTTTACTCTCAGACTGACAGGTGAAGGTGTCCACAGACAGGCTTATCACTCTTAGCCCTTTAGATTTGTGTCCTGGGGCACCATAACAAATCAGTTACCACAAGCATGATATGATCACAGTATAATCCAGTGGTTCTTAACCTTCCTAATGCTGTGACCTTTTAGTACAGTTCCTCATGTTGTGGCGACCCCCGAACTCCCCCTGCTGTGGGATGTTCTGTATGGCAAATGTGTTGCTCTGATTGGTTGGTAAATAAAACACTGATTGGCCAGTAGTCAGGCAGGAGGAAGTATAGGCAGGACAAGGAGGAGAATAAAGCTGGGAAGTGGAAGGCTGAGTCAGAGACACTGCCAGCCGCCACCAGGACAAGCAGCATGTGAAGATGCCGGTAAGCCATGAGCCACATGGCAAGGTATAGATTTATAGAAATGGATTAGGTTAAGATATAAGAACAGTTAGCAAGAAGCCTGCCACGGCCATACAGTTTATAAGCAATATAAGTCTCTGTGTTTACTTGGTTGGGTCTGAGTGGCTGTGGGACTGGCAGGTGAGAGAGATTTGTCCTGACTGTGGGCCAGGCAGGAAAACTCTAGCTCAATCATAAAATTATTTTGTTGCTACTTCACAATTGTAATTTTGCTACTGTTATAAATCGTAATAGAAATATCTGATATGCTACCTCTATGAAAGGGTCATTCAACACCCTCAAGGGGTCGTGACCCACCACAGGTTGAGAACTGCTGGTTATCATCCCTCTTCCTACAGCTCAGTGGGCCAAAGTCCAGGTGTGGTCCAGCCCCTCACATAGGTGCTGTTGTTGGTGCTCCCGACTTGTAGATACCCTGATCCCATTCTGCTGTCTTCACATGCTTTCCTGCGTGCCTCCTCTTGCTCTGCCCTTTACGTTTCTACAAGGACTCTTGTTATTGGAGTTTGGCTCACTGAGAGAATCTGAGATGATTTCATCTGGATATCTGAGTTATGTCTTTGAGGATCCTTGCTCAGGTAAGGTCCTGCTCATGGGTTTCAGGGGGACATTTCTTCTGGGGACACACTCTTGTCACCCACTACACCTTCCTTAGTGTAATGAGGATACGGACTGTGGCATCTGATGTTTATTCTTGGATGGTAACAACTGAGCTATAGAAACAAGAAGCCATGCAGAGCTGTTTTTGTTTTGTTCATGATACTCCATCTCATGCCCCATCTTTTAACAAGCTGTAGGTTATACTCAGTACAAAGTTGCATCCCACATGAGGAGAAAAGGAGGGAGGTGAGAAAAAGAGGGGGAAAGGAGAAAGGAGAGAGGCAGGGAAGGAGTCAGAAGTGGCCTGAGTTTTCCTGAAGGAGTCACAGCACCACACATGGTATCTTATTTTCTTTTTCTGTTGCTGAGATGAAACTGACAAAAGCTACCTGAGGGGAAGGGGCGTGTTCTGGCTCACAACACACTAGGAAATGACAGGAACTAGAGGGAGTTGGTCACATTGCATCCGTAGTCAAGAACCAGAGATGGGGAATACACACATGCTGGTGCTCAGCTGGGTTTTCTTTTTGAGCAGTCCAGAACACACTGCTAGGGAATCTTCCTACCCACAATTCATATCAATATGATCAATCCCACACAGACTTGCTCATCTCCCAGGTAATTCTAGATTCCGTCAATTAACATTAATCATCACGTGTGGTTTATAATGTGCCTTTAAATGTTAAAAAAATTATTAAGCAAGAGTCAAGATAAGGTGAAAATTGCAGAACATTTATTAGCTATTATAACAAAATGAGGTTCCCCTGTGCTGTGGCCACTGTGGCCGTACCTGTAGATGTCCCTGACATCTACTCTAACCACATTTTGCCTTTGGGTTTCACAGCTCACCTTTGATCTGTTAAAATAAACAATTCTCAAACTCAGTGTATGCTCACATGGATCAGGTTGGAGCCAGTTAACCCCAGGACTCAGGCCTGCAGCTCCCCTGGTTCTTCCTGAGTGTTCCGGAGGGAGGGTGGTGTTGGACAGTTCTGTAGGAAGTGATGTGTGTTTATGAACCATAGTTGTGGTGGGTTTTGAGGGTGGAGATGGTAGCAGGAAAGCCACGTGGCACAGGTTTGTGGAACCTGGTCTAGGGACCATGAAAGAAATCGTGAGGGGAAGCCAGGGTGGGGGTGGGGGTTGCAG